TATATATATATATATATATATTATATATATATGTTTATATATATATATATATATATATATATATATATTTCAATTTAGCTGGTCATTCAATTTCAAATTTCAGAGTGATTGCAATTGACCATAATGCCAATTGGAGCGACAAAAATCGCAAAGATAAAGAGAATCACTGGGAACTTTTACTTAAAACCACCACACCATTTGGACTCAATGTTAGGAACATTCTCCCAGTACACTAAATTATACCTATATCATTCCAAATTATTCTGGATAAATCATTTGGCTTATTCATTGAGGCATGCCTCTAAAGTTTAGTTTTGGCCTTCCTGTTTACTTGTTTAGGCTGTTTATTCTAATCCCACCTAGCCTAGCCTATTGTTTCTAATCATGCTTGCATGAAATTCTCACTTTATACTATCTGGCTTTTTCAACCCTCACTCACTCGCCACTGAGGAAGGACTAGTGTTGTCCGAAAGCTCTGGTTCTATTTCTGGCTGTTTATACTTACGTTTACTTTTTAGCTGTTGCTTATCATTTTTGTATCTCTACCGAGATCCAGCCATTGTCTCCCACAGCATTGTTGTTTTTCAGTATTTTGCCTTTTAATATATATATATATGTATATGTATATATATATATATATATATATATATATATATATATATATCATCATCATAAATCCATGTGTGTTCTTGAAATTATATAAAAGGCGTTGAAACAAGGAATTGAAGCAACAAGTCATGTGGACTATAAAACACTTGTTTATTTCAAAAGAAATTTTTGACCCCTCTGGTCTTCTTCAGCTTACAAAACTAAATGGCAAAATGTGGCTTATACAAGAGATCTATTATACAAATAAACAATATAATTGTAATAGGCTTACCCCAGTATTCTTAAAACGAACTTTAGTCGTAGTTCGAGTTAAAACTTTAAAATTACGTCATTTCGTATCTGTGGATTGGAAAGGTGCTATATAAATTCTGATTCTAAATTTTTTTTAAATTAAAAAAAATATTAGTCTTTGATATTTTTATAATTTTTATATGAGAATGAGCAAGATTCTATTTTTTTTTTTGTAATTTATTAATGGAACGCGTTCTGGTAGGCTACTCGATGACACATCACTCGTATTGCGGCCTAGAGTGGCTCAGACTCTACCTAGCCTAGGGTATTTAAACACTCGGGGCAGTCCTATTAAATTACATAAAAAATATAACATTACATAAAGTTAGGCCTATATATTAATCTTTGATATTTTCATACTTTTTATATGAGAATGAGTTATTTTCTTTTTTTTTTTGTACTTTATTAAAATTGGAAACGTTCCAAACATATCCCTGTTCCAAATCGGAAATTATCGAAGAACATCGTCCGAGTGTTGTTTTTTTTTTTGTAATACCCAATCAGAGTCCAGGAAAAGCCCCCCCCCCCCGTGACCCTGATTTTGTTTCCGTTTGTTAACACTTTCCTATTCGGAATTTGACAAGTGCCCTCACACGGATGAGCTCCTAGCTTGCCTACCTAGCCTAGGCATAGGCCCCAGGCCAAGCTAGGCCTAGGCCCTCCCTAGCTAGGCCTTGGCCCTTGGCGGCGGCCTAGGTCCTGCTGCTAGGTTGCAATGGCATGTAAGCCCAGGTCAAATTCACCATGTTATCGGCGCTAATGAACTTAGTACTTAACCTTAACAACAATAACATAACAAGACTGGAGTTGAGGTAAAGGTAAGGGTGGAGTACTAAAGTGCATTAGGGCCGTATTCTTTATACTAGCTACAAATTTCAATTACTCACCTTGTGAATCAAACCGCAGGCATTGCTGATGTCATTACCCTTACCGGGGCTTCGCAACTTGACCAGGGTAAACAACACAAACTGAAATCCAGCCCACGTGAACGATAAAGTCTTTATGGTCCAGAGAGGTTTATACACAAGCGAAGTAGTACCAAAATGTAAATCAGGTGACAGATAAACGATACAAAATGCAACTGTGCTGGTAAATATTATGAGAAGAAGATTGCTTGCAGAAATTAAGCTGTTTTTTCCACCTCTGTTTCTATCATAATCGCCGCTGTATGGTCCCATGCTGAATACTTGGCGCCCTCACCGCAGTGTGACCAGAGCCAAAGAGTTGCGATTCTGGCAACACAAATTGTTGAATAATTTTTAGTTTTTATTTTTTTATATTTAAATTTTATTTTTATGTCACTATTCAAAGTTTTATTTTTATGTTATTTTTTATAAACCATTACTTTGATGCATGCATTCCACGGAAACAAAGTAAAATTCAAATAATATATAAAAAAAATTAACAGCAGTACCACAAAACCTCCAATAGTATGGAACGCCGTTACTGCCTTTGGTGGCTCTTTTCCGTTCGGCGCATTTGTTATTCGGCCCTTTTAACATTACGTTCGGTGCTTTTACATTACGTTCGGTGCTTTTTACCTTACGTTCGGTGCTTTTTACATTACGTTCGGTGCTTTGAACATTACGTTCGGTGCTTTTACATGACGTTCGGTGCTTTTTACATGACGTTCGGTGCTTTTTACATTACGTTCGGTGCTTTTATTAACATTACATTCGGTGCTTTGAAACATTACGTTCGGTGCTTTTATCATTACGTTCGGTGCTTTTGCCGCACTTACGGATCTTTTATCATTTGGTGCTTTTTAGTTTTACCTTTCGGCCCTTTCATCATTACGTACGGTTCTTTTATCATTCGGTGCTTTCATGACCTTTGACATCGGGTCAAGTGGAAAAAAAAT